CTCTCTCTCTCTCTCTCTCTCTCCCTCTCTTTTCCCTCTCTCTTTTCTGTCTGATATTTAAAATATTATTAAATTATTACTTTTTATTTCAGCTAAATAATTTTAATTAATTTTTTCTTATTTTTATATAGATTATAAGTTAAATAACGTTAGGGAGCATGTGTTAGTGACAGCATAAAATTGAGATCAGCATGAAAATTAAGATCGTTAACATGTTGTTACGTTTAAAATTGCAGTTATTTGAGAAAAAGAAAGAAAAAGCCTTAAAAATGTTTGTAATTTCTCACTCTCGGAGAAAAACATTTTTGGGAACAATATTCTTTTCTGGAAACGCATTTATTCAAATTCTTTACTTTTACATTTTTCAGTCCCACCGAGCTGCAAACAGCAGAGATTATGGCAAATAGAGAGAACGTTAGGAGCAATTTTGAAAGAGGGGCAGTCCGGCTGGTTTCATCAAGCATTAAAAAGAAGCGAATGTTATGAGAAATGTTTGCAAGCGAGTATGTATTCCGCAGAATACTTAGCATGCAACAATGCTAAGAAATTTACACTTTAAACGAGTCGCAAATGTCAAGAAATGTCAACGAAGTGTGTATGAACAATTTGAATAATTTCAGGAGACGAATGTGCATCCGCCCAATACCGTACGGGTGAGCCTTTAACACTTGACGATACCATTGGTACATGTTCGCTATCGATGCTCGAAAGGGGTACCAGGCCGCAAGCTTACAGATCGTCGATGTATCGGGATGAATATTTACAAGATCAGTGCCACAACACATGTAAGTCGATAAACCGATGTCTGTCTTTCTATAAATCGCAAGATCGTGTTGTATTTAAATTAAATTTAATTCTTCCACCATTCTTCGTACAGTCAAGAAGAGCTATTGTTCCTACGCGGAATTTCGGAACGTATCATTGCCATACTCAGATGTGGCGTTATCGGGACTGGACGTGAAACAGGTATTTCTTGTATTTCCTGATGGAAAATTTTGTGTTGAAATTCTTTCTTAATTGATTCCATTATCTTTTCAACCATTATTATTATCATTACCACCATTACTACCATTTCGTTATCATTTCAACATTTTTTATTAACTTTTCAAAAATTAACAGTATATACATTCACTTTTCTTATATTTCACAATATTACATTAAATTTTATAAGAAAAATTATGATCCATTTTGAAACATATTCAGTAATTTTTCATTTTAAATAACTATAACTTTCATTTTATTTTTCATCGATTTTATAGTGTACTGCCATATTTGTCTTTATGAAATTTAATATAATACTTTGAAATAAGGAAAGAATAGTAGTTGAGATTTTTAAAAATATTATGTAAAATTTACTACATAAATTGCGAAAATTGCGTATATTTATTGAATAATAATGAAATTGATTCAATTCAGGGAAAATTTCAGCAAATAATTTCTATTAGGGTTTCCTGTCGTTTTCGCAGAATCAGTTCTGCTATTCGATCATGATTCTTTTAGTGCGAGGAAAGATGTGACCGCAGCGAGGATGGTTTCATATGCAGGGCTTATACCGTCGACTATTCGGAGAAAAAACCGCTCTGTCTCTTGCACTCCGACGACACAATCGCTCTTGGAACTAGTTCGCTGGTTGTCAGACCTAACGTAGTCTACAAAGAGCAAGAGCCCTGCCTAAATCGTACGTTTGCGAATAATTTTACAAATTTTTTATTGTTCATTTGTTTTGTTATTTTCCACGTACTGAGGTACCTTGTTTCGCCTTAGTGAAAGTGGAATGCGGCGAATCAACCATGACAATCACACTAACCACCATGGAGCCCTTTATAGGACGGATGTACGTGAGTGGACACGGAGACACCTGTGGCGTTAATGGAATTGGAAATAACGTTACAACATTAAAATTATTGCTACCAAAGAAGGAACAAATCGACAAGCAAGAGATCCCATGCGGTCTCACCCCTGCGTTCTCCATTGACAAAGACAACCGGTACTTAATCCTGAAATCATCTGATTAACTCGTTCAGCCTCGAATTATCGGCAAATGAAATAAAAGAAAAAAAAAAAAAAAAGAAAAAGAATTTTGCTGAGTAAATTAATCACTAATCTTAAATTAAAATTCACCATCTCTTATTTTTGCAGGACGCACATATTGGTTTGGGCCATCATTGTGATACAGTATAATCCAATCATTCAACGATTGGGAGATCAGTCGGTGAGAGTCGGATGCTCCTTAGACGATAGCAATCTTCCGGAACCGAGGAATGTGACCGTTCAATCGAAATTCACTTTTATAGATCCAAAGTAAGTATAGGCTTTTCTTCGTATAGAATTGTTTGAAACCTTTTTTAACCTTTTTTAACGAATGATATTCGTTTTCGGTAATTTGATTTTTTGTCTTCATTCTGTGATAAGTGTCCCCGATATTCCGGCTCTGGTTGCTTTTTTTAGTGCAGGCGTACCACCGGTTGGATCAATTGTAGTGAATACATCGACCGAAGTGCCAGTGGTAACAATGAGAATTCTCAACGAAGACAATACAGATGCGGTCGTTACCCAATTGGGACAGAAGCTAACACTAAGAATTGAAATTCATCCCGTAAACGGTGAATATTCTTTTCGTAACGTTTTTATATTTAGAATTTTTCCAGTTTTGTTCTGGTATTATTCTTTATTATTGAATTTTTTGAATTTTAATTAGAACGTTTATTAATAAGGATATTAAAGCGTGTTAAAACGTATTAAAATACTAAAGTGTTAAAGTAATGTAAAGAATGTTAATTAATGATGTTTTAATTAAAAGATGCTCACAATGTAAAATATTTTTAATTCAATTTTAACTGTGTAAAGTTTTATTTCGACCAAAAAAAAAGTGATATAATTCTTCGGTTTGACAGGAACTTACGATATCGCAGCTGGACACCTTGTAGCTAGTAGCGCATCTGGGGAATCTTCATATCTTCTTCTCGACGAAGTTGGATGTCCAACGGATCCGGCAACCTTTCCTGCACTGTTAAAGGATCCGATAGATAACCGTTCTTTGATCTCAACGTTTACTGCCTTCAAATTTCCTGATAGTCAAATTGTTCGGTTTAATGTCATCGTTCGGTTTTGTGTTGAAGAATGTGAACCGGTAAGTAAGGCTATTCTTTTTAATATATTTAATGAGTCATAATTATATTACAGGAATAATATTATAATAAAATATAATTAATATAATTAATATAAAATAGATATTATGATAAAATTTTAATTGTTTAACAATTACATCTCACAAAAAATATTAATATAAGTTTTTAAATATAAATTAATTTAGCATCTTTGTAGAAATTGTAGCTATTATTATTGATGATAAAATTAAATATTAATTAATACTTATGATTTTTTTTGAAGGCCACATGTAGAGGAGGACAGATCTCGTATGGCAGAAGGAGACGATCGATCGAGCAGCCAGTCGTCGCCGAGGTAACAGAAATTTTCAGAAACCTCACACCTGCAGAATTATCATTACAGCTATCTATCGTCGTTCAAAGCCCAATGATAACGGCCGATCATTTATCCAGAGAAAATCCTGATACGCTTTTGATCACCGATGGAAGTGAGTTTAACATCAGTATCGCTACATCCATCAAGCGTCGGAAACTTCACAGTTCTAATGATTCAATCTGCATCTCTAAATCCTATCCCAGATAGCTAAATCTACAAAAGATTTTGCGCAGTGTCTATTGCCAACTCTGTAAGCAGCTTGCTAGCAGAAATACAATAGAATTTGATAATCAGAGTATGACAAACTGATGGCAAAGATTTGAGCATTTGTCGTTCCAATGTATTTAAATAGAACATACTGCAGCTTTTCGATTTCTGCCGCTTTGATTCTGCCGTCAAATCTGCTGCCCTGTTCTGTAGGTCTTGCCAGCAGAATCTAAATTGAATGTGGACGCCTGATTGACTATTGATATGTTCTAATCGAATCTGCTAGTTGACATACTGCTAGCATTTTGCTTATGTATATTTAGTATATAGTATATAGTATAATAGTATAATAGTATAATAGTATAATAAGTTGAGTATGTATATTTACAATAAAATTACTAGAATTGTATGAATTTTGTCTTTTTTTTCAGACGGTCTCTTCTGTATGGATCCCGCTCTGGCTTTGGGGCTTCTGATTGTTTGGCTAATAATCCAGATTTTACTCACTGTCGGCTGCATTTTAGCGGTTGGTCGCTATAGGAGGATGGCCGTAGAAGCCGAAGAGGACAGAGCTGATATATTGGCAGCGCATCTTTACGGGATTCACAGAGGAAACTTCGAAACACGAAGGGTCAGATGGGCCGATCGAAATGATTCTCCAATCGGATAATAGATTTTTTTCTCAAGTGAAAATAGATTTTTCAAGTGAAAATAATTAAATAAAAAAACCAAAGTAAAAACAAAGTCAACAAAGTATTATTTAAGAAATATATAAATATATTTGTTTATATTATATATATATACTGCAGTATATTGCATATAGTATACATAAATGTTTACTTTTTTGTTTGCCACTTTTATCTTCTTAATGAAACATTTATTATCATAAGTTGTACAATAAAAATTGTAAGTTGTCCAGTTCTGCCTATCAAGCAGCATCTATAAGAAGCAAATTTCACATGTGTAAATGTTGAATACTGTATATTGAATGTTTTAATGCGTTTATCTCTTAATTGCACTGCCTTATATTGTAATTACGTGTAAGATGTTTTTTATTTTGTATTTCATTAGATAAAAATCATTAAATGTATAAATATCGTGAGATATACTAAGAGAAGTGCGATAGATACGCACCAGAACATAATGTTATGGGACTCTAAAATTCCAATCAAAAGTATAATTTTTATTTGTTACTAATTATTTTTTAATAGTATAGGTAATGTTACAAATTTTAAAATTTCTCTTTAAGCTTCTTTAATATTAAATTTGAATACATAAAAACTTCTTTCTCCTCTTTACACAGCTTGCTAAATATATTTGTTATTGTAAAATTTATTTTTAAATTGCTTTCATCCTATCTGTAAAATTTTACAAACATCTCTTAAATGTGAATTCCTAGCTCGTTGATTCTTGCGCTTTTGAATTCTTGTTATTCTTTTATTATAGAATTCTTAGAATATGTTTCCCATTATGTTTTTCCTAATCTATTTTTTTTCTTTTTCTTTTATTATATTTTTAAAATGTTTGTGTTAATATTCATTATTCTCTTATTAATCTTATTAATGTTATCTAAGCGTTATATTTTATTTGTTATAATTTATGTATTGTTTTAAAGCGCTTGAGGAGATGCAATTCTAGAGCGCTAATAAACAATATTTATTTATTAACAGAAAAACTACTTTTTTAATATCAATTTTTTTATATAAGACATTAATATGAGTTTAAGAGTTTAAACAATATAAATAATTGAGATTAATTAAAAGTGTTGCTAAAAATAACAGTATTTTTTAACATAGTACTAAAAAATATCAGTTTGATTCCTATTTTAGTATTAAAGCAAAAAATTCGTTTTTCAAGCAATAAATTAAATATAGTCTGCTTTTCAGTCAATGTCATCAATAAATATTTTCATTATTATTTTTACGAGTTATTCGACAAAAAATATTCTTCTTTAGATTCTTTAGAAATAGAAAACATGTGAGCAAAAAGTTCGATTCAAACGTTCAAAAATATGAAAGGGCGCAAAAATTAATTTGCTCGTACTTTTCTATTTCTATATAAAAAATTTGTTGTTGTCAAGCGGTGGGTTATATCATTCAGTTGGCATAGCTCACTTATTTTCCAAATGAACCTTAATTGTTTCGGCTTCGCTTCGGCTTCACTAAATTTATTTTGGCTATACCGATACATTTTACATGCGTTACGGATCGAATAATGGGGAATAATGATCCCTAATGATCTGATAGTTTTACATATAATGCATCTCATGTTGTTTTTATGCACACTACATGAAGCATGTGTCTCACTGAAGATATATCTGTTTAATAAATGACGTTAATTGAATGAATTTTACATAATAATAATCTTTTTATTAAGCGTCGGAGAAAAAATGGTTCAGAACTTTGAGACTTGTTTTTCGTTCAGAAATAACGCTGTGTAATTTGTAAATGCTGAAATGTGAATCCTGAATATAACTGTCCCGACAATGTTTTATCATCAGATATTAATATTGCTATAAATAAAAATTATGCACAAATATATAAAAAGCTTTGCTATTAGCAAGCATAAGCGATGTTGTTATGTCTAGTCTTGATCTGTGACCTAATCCGCATGTAAATTAAATTATATATCACACAGAAATACATAAATTTCAGCACATAAAAGTAATTATCGTCCGCATCTAAAAAAAAATATTCAAAATAACATAGTCTTTCATAAATTTTCCGAATAATTTCAAGTTATTGTAAGACCTGTTTTTCTGATTTATTCAGAAAGATTATTCAAATCTTGATTATTCAAGATTTTTTTAAGAAAACGAACTTATGATATATTCACAGTAGAATTTTTCTTTCATTAAAAATACAAAATTTAAGTTTATGTTAATCTTTGCTTGCCTGATAACATCAGAAGCGAAAATATCTGTGCAGATGATTTCTGTAATTTATAATCAAATGTACAATATCTTTTATTAGCTAAAATTTATAGACCGAAAAGTCGTATTTGTTATCAATACAAGATTTGTTGTTTTAAATATTAATTAATTGATATTTAATTTGTGTTTTTTAAAAAGAAACTTTGAAGTTATTTTT